ATATCTATTTTATCATCATCACTTATTTATTTTATTTATCTCCTATCTTTATGAAGTTCATTATTTCTTTATTTTGATTAAATTTTAATGATAAGTTTATCATTTTGTAATTTAGTGGCTAAGTCCATAAGCTTTTAGACAAAGATTAATTGAGTTAAATGGACATTTAGATGATCCTCTTAAAGTGGATCAATTAGTCATCTAGTCTTAAGCGTGAAACACGTAAAGGCCAATTGAAAAATTCTAGAAATGATCGTCCTTACATAGATTAACGTGAGCCTACGATGGTCCAATTATATTCAATGGGTTTGATAGAGTAACAAATTTTTTTTTTTTGATAGAATACTAGTTTTACATTAACAAGGACCCGGTGAAAATTTTTCCTTTGACGCATACATTGGATAAGCAATGTACTAATAAGGACTTACTTGGGTGGATATGAGGTGACATTAGATTATTACCCCTTATATCCAGAGAAAAAAGCATTTTTTTTAGAAAAAATAAATGTTTAGATCAGTAAGATTATAAATAGTCTATCCTATCTTGACATAAATTCATATGAAAAGATATAAATCACGAGAAAAGTAAGATTTAATTACAAGTTTTAAATAATAAAAATAAAAAGATTTAATTAATTATATTATTTTTGTGGACTAGAAAACAACATTTTTAACACCCAACAACTTATTAATACTTATAGAAAAATATAAATATTATATAGGTCGGTATGATTTAATAGAAAAAGAAAAAATAGAATCGATATTGTTGATATATTGTCCCTACTAGGTGGACCTGCACGAAATATAATTTGTATGGACAATTTTCATGCATCTATTATATAAATTAATCCACAAAACGTCCAAAAAGCCCCCACCTATATATGAATCTTGCGTCGCAACAAAGTAAATAATAATAATAATAATAATAATAACAATGTTCCCTTTCCCACAAACATATTATTTTTAGTCATAAAAATTTTGTTAGATTCAAAGGAAACTTTAACCCAAACCAATGGCGAAACTTAGATTAAAATTTTGGAGGTGCCAAATTAAATTTTTTATATATAAATTAAAATTTTTATTAATTAAAAAAATATTCCTCTTTTTTTTTTTACTCAAATTGAATATACATAATAATAAAATCTCAAAAATTTATTATCATTCACTAATTATTTTATAAAATAATTATATAAATATAATATTAAATATATATAATTTTTTTTTTAGAAAATTTTGCGGGAGCCGTGGCTCCCCCCAGTCCCCAAGAAGATCCGCCACTGACCCAAACCTAACTTAACAGTGCTATAGAAATTAGATTAACTCCAATAGTGGGTAAATACAACACATCACTTAATAAAGCAATGTTTTCCTAGATATGAGTTTCAGAAGTACCTTTCCTTGCATTGGAATAGTACTAGAGTCACCAAGGTACACATGTTCTTTTCCATTTTCCATAGAAGTGTAGGGGGTAAACGCATTTCTATTAGCATAAATATGTCTGGTGGCTTTAGAACCAACTACCCATTTGCTCACATTGGTCACAACATTTACTTGAGAAACAATCGCAACAATAATATCATACCCCTCAACTAGGTTGGCCCTAGGCTTAGGAAGATTGTCATTTCTTGCTGTATATTTGCATTGGGATGCATGACGTCTTAGCTTTCCACAAATATAACAATTTCCTTTTTTCTTAAAGGAAGGGTTAGATGCAACACTTTGTGGGAAATTATGAAATTTCTTTTTTCCTATTGTGATTAGATTTGTTATCGTACGTTTTCTAAGTTGGTTTATCTTCTACCATATTTTCTTTTGCAGTTAGTGCTTTCAGTCTTGTAGCAACACATTCTTTCTTGTGAGTGATTAGGTTTGATAGTGACATTTGTTTGTATTTGTGCTTCAATTGTTGTTTATAGTCCATCCAAGATTCAAGTAGCTTTTCAATTAGTAGCTCAGATACAATTTTATTGGGCAATGTAATCTTTTTGAACCTTTAAATCCTCAAGTACGTAGCTTATGGTACTCTTTGATTTGAACTTTGATGTCTTTGTCTTTGATCATTGTCCAATGGTAGTAATTACCAATGATGAATTGTTGCCTTACCAAGTCCTTAATAGTATATTTAAGGATGAGAGATTCCCAAATATCCTTACTTTCCTTATAGGAACAATACACATCAAACAAATCATTAGATAACACACTTAGTAAAATGTGACCGCATACCTTATTGGCTTGATTCTAATCTTCATTCTGTTTGGTTGTTGCCTCAAAATCTGGTTTTGAAGCAGCAAATGTGAACACAAATCCATACACGTCGAGCAATGTATGAACGCGTTCTTTCCAGCATCAAAATTTATGACCAACAAAGACTTTGATTTTAGAGACATCGGGCAAAGGCTTGGCATATGTCAAAGTAGCATGAATAGAAGCAACAAGTGGGTTGAGGACCATATTGTCAACCACTATAAGTCCTTTAGATTGTAGTATAAATAGCTAACAAATATATTTGAGCACTGTCCCTTTAGATTGTAGTATAAATAGCTGACAAATATATTTCTTAAGGCGTGCTGAGCACTGTTCTAAAGGACTTATTCGTAGTATTTATGCAAGCCCCTATGATACAACAATAACGTCTCAAAATAGAATTAAGGTCACAGAACTAGCCAGAAAAAAAAATTTAGAACCTAAAGTATAAAAAGGAAGAAGAAGAATGAGAGAGAGTAGAGATGCCTATTTATAGGAGACTAAGATATTAGAAGAAAATAAAAGTCATTTACAGAGAATAATGAGTAATAGAACTCCAATGGTTAGAAATTAAAAAGCCATTAATTAAAAAAATATTATGAGTAACTATTTTCAAAATATGCTAAAATCATTACTCTTCTGAAGCCCCTTAATTTGAAATTATTTAAAATAACATTAAAAAAGACATTAAAATTTAAAATTATGTGAAATTTCTTCCTTTTGTAATACCTATTATACAACAATAACTCTACCCAAAATAAAAACTCCTTTTTTCTACCTAACATAATGCTTTAACATTAATGGTCTTTATATACCTCACATAATGCTTTTAACTTTAATGGTCTTTATATATGTATGTATATTATGTTAATTATTAGCCCTTGTATATTGTATTCAATTTCTATAAACCCTAAACCATGTTACAACCCATCAAACTTAATTCATTGACCATGATCCCACAAACATCCCTAATATTAATTTTATATTTATCAAAATATTTATGTTCTTCTAATGTTTATTGTGCTCTTAGGCTGAAGTTTTGATCACTACTAAAATTTCTATTATTACATGCGACTTTTACATAAAAATTCGTAGAAAACGTGATTTTTACGAATTTTTTCACGAAATTTTATCTCTAAGTAATATCTTCATGGATAATATATTTTTGTAAATTTTTAAATTTGTAAGAAAGTTTCTTACGAATTTTTTCACAAGAAATTTTGTAGAAATTTTTTTTATGAAAAAAATTAAAGAAATTGCTAAATATTTCTGTGTAATATTTTTGCTAAATTTCTTACAACTTTTAAATTTACAATAAGTTTTGTGATAATTGTGTGTATCAAATTACCATTAATTCTTCGATTATTATTGTTCAATGACTCACAATGAATTCAAAATATGTTTTTCACCTTTTGAAATTTTAGAATGTTGGTTATAGGTCTTACTCAACCTACAAGATTAACTTGCAAGGTGAGTGTTGTCTCTTGTTATATACTCTTTAATTGCCTTATTTCTAATCAATGTGAGACTTAAGATATTCTTTAAAAATTAATTAGATCATGTCTTTAGAAATAAAATTAATTCAATCATATTGAACTACAAAATTATATTATTATAAATTATATTAACTCTTAAAAATATTAATATTCTAAAAAATAGATTTTTTGTTAAATAATTTTATTTAAAAACTATCATTAAATTAAAACTCATTATCATTAATTTATAAGTTTAATTAAAATAAATATTTAATTAATTAATACTTTAAATTAAAACTAACTTTTATGAAATATTTATAAATAATTTAGTAAAATAATATTTTGTTAAGTAAATACTTTTAATTTTAAAATTTTATGAATTATCATTCAATTAAAACTCATTATCATTAATTTATCATATTTACAAAATTTTATATATTTAATTTAAATTTAAAATTAATTATAAAGATATGTTTATAAAAAAAATTTACTAAAATAATATTTTTAATTAAAAATTTTAATAATTAAAATTATAGATTTAGATATTTTTTAAAATTTTTCTTGTGGATTAAAATTAGCAGGAAACTTCACAAGAAAAATTATCTGCGAAATTTTTCTACCATTTATTATAATACTCATAAATATTACTTGCAAATATATTTTCGCAAGAAAATCGACAAGAAGCAAAATAAAATTCTTAGGACATTTTCTACAAATTTTTACATGAAAAAAAATTCTATGATCATCAAAATTGTAGCAAAATTTGCAAATTTTTTCATAAAAAAAACTGTAAAAAATTTCTGCAAATTATTTTTTACAAATAAATTTTGGAAAATGTTTCTATAGATTTATTATTGAAAACAATTTGTAAAAAATTTCTGCGAATATTTTTTTATGAGAAAATTCGTAGAAAAACAATATTTTTCTAATAGTGAATATATGACAAATTGAAATTTCTTATATACCAAAATTAATAATTAATTTATATATAAGTTAAAAATAAGATTTTAATGAAATTAATTAATAGGAGAGAATTTTTAAATATACATAAACTAATTTTAACTCCTAATAAATATTATTTTATTCTTTTTTCCTATTTTTTCACTTAAAAATATTTTGAAAAATGTTTAGTTGTAAAATAAATATTTTACACTAATGAGATGTTGACAAAATATAATGAATGAATAAATAAATAAAATTGCCATTTAGCTTTCACTTTCTTCTTGACTTGTACGAATATATACATGAAAAGGGACATTGGTATGCCAGGGATAGACTCGGGGAATGCAGCAACTGTTATTGGTAGTGCTGGTGTGCACCAGCTCATTTAGTAGCTGCTGTCGGTGATGCAGCTGATCCGTCTCTCAAAGACATGCCATCCTTGAAGACCTGTCCAATCAATACCTCTAAGCCTTCTCACAATACTCCTAGCCGCATGCATCGTTAGATACCATCCGCCTATAGGTTTAGGTGAATTTTGGATTGCTCTTCCACTTTATACTTTTACTTTTCTCTATGACCCCTTTTGCATAGTAATACTATAGTATATCTACTTTTTTCAAAAAAAATATACATGAAAAGGGACATTGGTTTTCTTGACTTCCTTACTCGTCTCGGTTTTTTTCTTTTTTAATATAAATATCTGTTGCATCCCATGGACATCTTCAAGAGTCTCGGATTGTATTAGGCATTCAGTGATTGAAGAATTCACCAAATACCAGCCATGTTCTTCATATTTATTCCAATTCTTCAGTCCATGAAGTTTCTAACTGTGATGTGGTTTTGTGCATTTATAATGGCCACTTCATATTCTCTCCATGCTACTACTGCATCCTCTGCTTCTCTCACACTTCAACGCAATGAAGCAAATTCTTTGCTAAAGTGGAAAGCAAGCCTTGACAACCAAAGTCAAATTTTGCTATCTTCATGGGGTGGCAATAGTCCTTGCAATTGGCTTGGAGTTGCTTGTGACCACTTTGGATCGATCTGCAACATAAATCTTACAGATATTGGATTAAGTGGTACGCTTCAAACTCTCAACTTTTCATCACTTCCAAACATCCTCACTCTAGATATGAGTAATAACTCCTTGCACGGAAGTATCCCTTCCCAAATTGAGGTGTTGTCCAAACTCACTCATCTAGATTTAAGTGACAATAATTTCTCCGGACCAATTCCATATCAAATAACTCAATTGGCCAGTCTTCAAAAATTATATTTGTCACATAATGTTTTCAATGGTTCTATTCCTCGAGAAATAGATGAATTAAGGAATTTGAGAGAGCTTCAAATTGAATTTACCAATCTCACAGGGACTATCCCAAATTCTATTGGAAATTTATCCTTTTTGTCGTATCTTTCTTTTTGGAATTGCAATCTCACAGGGTCTATCCCAATTTCAATAGGAAAGTTGATCAATTTGTATTATCTAGATTTTACAGGTAACAAACTTTGTGGACATATTCCTAATGAAATTGGGAATTTGTCAAACTTAAAGTATTTGTGGCTCGGAAGTAATAACTTCTATGGTCCTATTCCTCAAGAAATAGGGAAGTTGCAGAGCCTAGAGATTCTACATGCTCAACACAACAATATCTATGGCCACGTTCCTGTGGAAATTGGGATGTTACTCAACTTAACAGATTTATGGCTTGCAAACAATAATCTTTCGGGTTCTATTCCTCGAGAAATTGGAAAGCTGACAAATCTGTATATTCTTGATTTGACGAATAACAGTTTCTCAGGTACAATCCCTCCTACAATTGGAAATTTGAGCAGTTTATCACTCTTTTACCTTTATGGAAACCATCTATCTGGTTCCATTCCTAATGAAGTGGGAAATCTCCATTCTCTTGTCACAATCCAATTGTTAGACAATAATCTATCTGGGCCAATCCCATCTTCCATAGGCAGATTGATCAATTTGGAGTCTATTCGCCTTAATGGAAACAAACTCTCAGGATCAATTCCTTTTGCTATTGGAAACTTGACAAAGCTCACCAACCTTCTTTTATTCTCAAATAATCTCGGTGGAAAAATTCCAGTAGAAATGAACATGCTAAGCAACTTGGAAAATTTGCAATTGTATGAAAATAATTTCATAGGTCATTTGCCTCACAACATTTGCATTAGTGGGAAGTTGATGAAGTTTACTGCTAACAGTAACTACTTCACTGGACCGATACCAAAGAGTTTTAAGAATTGCACCAGCCTTAGAAGAGTTTGGCTTCAACAAAACCAGTTGACTGGAAATATAACAGATGATTTTGGTGTCTATCCAAATTTGGATTACATAGATTTGAGTGAAAATAACTTTTATGGCCATCTTTCTCCAAAATGGGGACAGTGCCTTAATCTCTCAAGCTTCAAAATCTCCAACAATAATTTATCAGGCAGTATTCCACTGGAATTGAGTCAGGCAACCAATTTACATGTACTTCACCTATCTTCGAACCATCTTATAGGAGGCATACCAAAAGATTTAGGTAAGTTGACATACTTGTTTGATCTCTCTCTTGATCACAATAATCTTTCAGGAATGGTCCCTGTACAAATAGCATCTTTGCAAGATCTTGAAACATTGAAGCTTGGTGCGAATAATTTTACAGGCTCAATTCCAAGCCAACTTGGCAATTTGGTCAAGTTGTTACATTTGAATTTGAGCCAAAATAAATTTGGGGAAAGTATTCCATCTGAGCTTGGTAAACTAACCTATCTTCAAAGTCTTGATCTTAGCATGAACTTTTTGAGTGGAAAAATACCACCAATGCTAGAGGGGTTGAAAAGCTTAGAAACACTGAATCTCTCGCACAATAATCTTTCGGGCGATCTCTCCAGCCTCAATGAGATGGTAAGCTTGATATCAGTTGATATATCATACAACCAATTGCAGGGTTCACTCCCTAACATTCGAGCCTTCAAAATTGCTACAATTGAAACATTAAGAAATAATAAACACTTGTGTGGCAATATCTCTGGCTTGGAACCATGCCTAACATCAAGTGTCAAATCTCATAATCATAAGACTAGTAAAGTCATATTGATACTTTTACCCATTGGTTTAGGCACTTTTATACTAGCATTATTTGCCTATGGAGTCTCATATCATCTTTGTCAAACTTCAAAGACCAAAGAAAACAAGGATGCACAACCACCTGTCGATAATCTTTTTGCAATATGGAGTTATGATGGGAAAATGTTGTATGAGAACATAGTTGAAGCCACAGAAGAGTTTGACAATAAACATCTCATTGGAGTTGGAGGACAAGGTAGTGTTTTCAAAGCAAAATTGCACACAGGTCAAATTGTTGCTGTGAAGAAACTCCATGCAGTCCAAAATGAAGAAATCTCCAATGTTAAAGTTTTAACAAGTGAAATTCAAGCTTTGACAGAAATTCGGCATCGTAACATTGTGAAGTTATATGGGTTTTGTTCTCATTCACAATTCTCATTTTTAGTATTCGAGTTCTTGGAAAATGGGAGTGTGGATAAGATTTTAAAAGATGATGAACAAGCAATTGCATTTGATTGGAACAAGAGGACTAATGCCATTAAAGGTGTAGCAAGTGCTTTAAGCTATATGCATCATGATTGTTCACCTCCAATTGTTCATCGAGATATATCAAGCAAAAATGTTCTTTTAGATTTGGAGTATGTGGCTCATGTCTCAGATTTTGGAACAGCTAAGCTTCTTAATCCTGATTCAACCAATTGGACCTCATTCGTTGGCACATTTGGATATGCAGCTCCAGGTCAATTCCTTTTTTATTTTTATTTTCCTGTTGAGGATATAATGATATTGTAGGTTTTTTTTTTTTTTTTTTTCCTTTCTTTTTTATATAGTTTTCTACTGATAAATTACAATGCATAGTTACAAACTCTTCAAGTTTATCTCAAGAATGTTATTTAATACATGATAGCCCTTTAAATTTTTTCTACATGCAGAACTTGCATTCACAATGGAAGTAAATGAAAAATGCGATGTGTATAGCTTTGGGATTTTAGCATTGGAAATACTTTTTGGAGAGCACCCTGGAGATTTTATAACTTCATTGTTAACATCTTCATCAAATGCCATAAGCTCAAAACTTGATATTCCTTTATTAATGGGTAAGTTAGATCAACGTCTTCCTTATCCTATAAATCCTATTGCAGAGGAGATAGTTTTGACTTTGGGGATAACAAATGCTTGCTTGATTGAAAACCCCCATTCTCGCCCTACCATGGAACAAGTGGCCAAGGTGCTTGCGTAGAAGTCATATTCAATACATTAATTCCACATTGTCGAGTATATGTAGTTGAAAGAATAAATCTACTGGATATGTATGAGATTATGAGTTCCATCCCTATACTTGCTTTGTAATTATGATATTAGTCTTCTTTTTTATTTATTATTGTACTTGAAGGTTAATGTAATTGAGGAACAAATGTATACTATAGTTCCTAATTACTCTTTAATGTTTGATGATTATTCCTTAGTCCGGTATATAATAGGTAGATTTCTAAGTTTAGTTAATTGGATATTATGTTTCTGGTTTGATAGCATTGACAAACTTATATTCTATAACTTTTTTTAGGATAATAGGATTTACATTGTCTTAATTTATGCTTTTTAAGATTTATATATTATTTTCTTTTTGTGATTCAATTTTGAAATAAAAATTATATTTGAATTTATATTCTAAACTGCCTGGATTAGGTTTTATATTCTGGACTGTGTGCAGGATTTTAGTATATCAAAAAATAATACAAATCTTTAAAAAAAGAGCATACATTTACGTCGGACTATACCTTGTCTGACGTAAATTTATGTCGATCATGGTATAGTCTGACGTAAATATTTTAGTATTTTTTTTTACAACCTTTTTTTTATGCCGGAGCTTCAGAATGTCCGACGTAAATTTACGTCGGTTATCACAACTGAGGTAAATTTACGTCTCCTGTATTAACGTTGAACCGTTTTCTGATGTAAAAAAATTTAAAATAATCAATGTAAATTATTCTTTTTGTACTAGTGATTACTGATGAAAGGTCCCTATCGTTCCTTAGTTTAGTCTTAATCTTTATATAATAATACGGTCATATCTTTTTGTCATATTAAATCATATCTATTTTACCATCATCACTTATTTATTTTATTTATCTCCTATCTTTATGAAGTTCATTATTTTTTTAATTTGATTAAATTTTAATGATAAGTTTATCATTTTGTAATTTAGTGGCTAAGTTCATAAGCTATTAGAAAAAGATTAATTGAGTTAAATGGACATTTAGATGATCCTCTTAAAGTGGATAAATTGGTCATCTAGTCTTAAGCGTGTAACACTTAAAGGCCAATTGAAAAGTTCTAGAAATGGTCGTCCTTGCATAGATTGTCGTGTATAATATGGGAGCTAGAGACTTTAATCTTACAATTGCAATATTTATGGATTAAAATTTTTGAAGAACTACAATTGCTCAATTAAAACTTTGGTCATTAAAATTGAATAATCACAATATTTAAGGTAACAAAAATATAATTAAACCATTTTAAAAATTGGATACTACTTAATTAGTATTAAAAATAATATAAAAGACTCATACTATATTACCATTTTTTTATTATATCACCACATTTTTTTATTGATGTTTATTATTATTTTTAAAAAGGTGGACAACTTGTTATTAAATGTGTTATCAAATATCAGTTTTATAACACCACTTTTTTATTGAAGGTGTTGCCTATTATTATTTAAAAAAATGGACATGACTTGTTTTTGAAAGTGCTATGAAAGACACATTCTATAACATCATTTTTCATTGAAGGTGTTGTTTATTATTATCTGAAAAAAGTGGACAATACTTATTTTAAAAAGTGCTATCAAAGATTCATTCTATAACAACACTTTTTATTGAAGGTGTTGTCTACTATTATTTTAAAAAAGTGAATAACACTTACTTTTAAAAGTACTATCAAAGACTCATTCTATAACACTACTTTTTATTGAAAGTACTGTCTATTATTATTTTAAAAAACTGGACAACACTTATTTTTAAAAGTGTTATCAAAGACTCATTCTATAACACCATTTTTTATTATTGAAGGTGTTGTCTATTATTATTTTAAAAAAAGCAAACAACACTTATTTTTAAAAGGGCTATAACACCACTTCTTTAGTGAAATGTTGTTACATATAACCTAAACCATAATAATAGCATTTATATCTTAATATAGTGCTATCTAATATATGTTGTTATATGTCTATTTTGTAGTAGTGCATATTTGCTTTTGTAGTTAGTGTCTTCAATCTTGCAGCAACACATTCCTTCCTATTGGTATCTTTTATGATGATGTGAGTGACATTTGCTTGTGTTTGTGATTTAGTTGTTTATAGTCCATCCAACATTCAAGCAACTTTTCAATTAATAGCTAGGATACAAACTCATTAGGCAATGTAATATTTTCAACCTTTAAATTCTCAAGTAGCTTATGGTACTCGTTGATTTGAATTTTGATGTTGTTACTGTAATATCCCAATATTTTTAGATAACAATATTCTCAACATTATTATTAAGTGTATTGAAATTTTTAGTTATGATAATATATATATATATATAAAAGAGAATAAGTATAATATTTTCACTATATATAT